AGAATGCCTTGTCTCGAGCTCCTTCCATGCCGCTGTATGCCAGGGATGTGCACAAGGCTGGAGGATGCTGCAATCCAAGCTTGCTTGCGAAAGGAAAAGGGGAATTCAGGGGCTGAAGTAGGACATGGTGGAGGGGCTGGTTACAGAAGTCTGGTTCTGGCCTGAGTAGAAAGGCTCCTGTTGATTCTCATGGGCTCTGACTGCCCTGTGCATGGTACTAACACAAACAGCACAGCCTGTCCTGTCATGGGGCTCAGTACAGCCCACTTCTTGGTAAATTGAGACACCTTGGCTTGAAAGGCAAAGCATAACCATCTAACAGCTCAGGCTCTTCTCTTGCCAATGAATCCTCCTGCTTTTAGCAGTCTGCAGTCTGGAAGCAAAAGCGTACGAGGCTCCTGCCTTAGGGACAGCCTCTGGGCCTGGGATGTGCCTTGGCAAGGTCTCCAGGCTCAGTCAGAAGACATGAGGGTATCTGCCCAGTGTGACCACAGTGCTTTAATGTACACCAGAGCCTCCAGAGCATGTGGAAATGGTGAGAATAAAATGTTGGTCTGGTCTCTAGTGAAAAGCGTGTCCTTTTGTCCCATGCAGCTCCCTGACTGCTTGCACTGTCAGAGGAGCAGGCTGGAGGATGCAGCCTGAAGCACTGCTGCAGCTCATGCCCCTGGGTTGCTTGTTGGGCATGGGCCCTTCAACTCTTCCCTGGCATCACTGTGGCTGTCCAGACTGGCAGATGTACCTGCAAGGCCAAAAGAGCACAATGCACCTCCATGGGACTGCTGCTGTTCAGGATGTGCCCACTGCTGCCAAGGGTCCTGCAGGGGCTTGCATTGGTGAACCTTTGCAAAACCAAAACTAAACCCAAGACCCCTGAAGCCTTTTCTAGAGCACCTGCTGTGCAATTTAGCAATACCTGTGAGTTAAGACATTCATGGCTAGCAGTATCTATAGTGACAAATCCACAACAAAGATGCCCACAGATGTTGGCCTTTCTACCTCATTACACAGTTCGTTATGACTTCATGCACAAAATGACATGTCTTGCTATTCTCATCTGCCTCCCCCAGGCTGTGAAAGGAGACAGTTGGGCAGTCACGCACACAAGAAAGACAACATCTTGTGCTCCATCTACAATTAAAAACCAGCTATGTCATCCCAGGGAAGCGTCCGTTTGCTGAGAACTTGTTTAGCATCTGAGTTACTTCCACCACATTTTTAACATCCTCATCTTGATCCAGCTGTTTCCAGCACTTGCACGGACCTGAATCGGTGTGGGAGGACAACAAATGGGGAGGCTGCCTGTCCCAGTGTCCCCAGGGTTAGGCAGGGTAGATGGGACCCTCTCTTGAGCCTGAACCTGAGTTCAGGACAAGGGTCCGCTCGTGAGGCTGCCTGGAAGGTCTCCAAGTCCCACTTGCCTTCTCCCTCACCTCACCAGCAGTGCTCACATGATGAGGAATCATTCCCCAGGACTGAGCCTTTTCAGCAGCTCTGCACAGCTCTGCAGCAGCACGGCCTGAAGGCTGGCAGAGCCAGGGAGGCACAGAGCAGGCTGTCCTTCCCTTGGTCAGCAATGACAGTAGGAGCAGGGAGTGACACAGCACGGCTATGCACGTTTCTGCCAGTAAGGCTGATCCTGACTTAGCACCATGACTGCTGGGAATTCACAGAGGCTTTACCTGGCACAGAGAGAACAGAATCACAGAATCAACCAGGTTGGAAAAAACCTTTAAGATCAAGTCCAACTGTTCCCCAGCACTGCCCAGGCCACCACTAACCCATGTCACTGAGGGCCTCATCTACATGGCTGGGAACACTTCCAGGGACGGTGGTTCCAATGCCTGACCACCCTTTGGGGAAGGAATTGTTCCTAATCTCCAATCTAAACATCCAGAGCTTGTGCCTCTTGTCACTGTGGCACCCACCCTGACAAGGACTGGGCAAAGACAGTACGAAAGCCCACAAAAACTTCCCACCACAGACAAAATCCCGGGAAAACTCCCCATGCAGCTCTTGTCACACCCACGTGGTGGTGGTCAGCTGGTCAGACCCCCCAAAATGTCCTTCCACATTGGGTCTGATCCTACTGGGAGTGCTGATCATTGCTGTGAGCACACCCGAAAAATATCCTTCATCTTGTTACCTGTCAATGGAAGTGCATCCAGGCTCAATCATTCATGGAATGACAGTGAGACAAATAATGGATCTTCAAAACAAAATATGCTTTTTCCACAAATCACCTGCAAATTCACTCCGGAATGTTTTGGAGAAGGAACATTCCCAACCTTGTTGGATGGAGTAAAGGAATGGCACAAAGAAAGCACTGCATATTTCCCACACCTTCAGAGCTCCATGCTGCGATGGCACCGACACGTGCTCCTCCATCCCAGCACTGCAGCGACATGGAAGCACCTTCCAGCTCCCTCTGTACATTACACTGAAAATTGCATTTCAAAAGAAAGTGGCAGTGAGTGACCTATGGACAAACGCTTGAGTTTGTCCCCCTTACCAGGTATTAAATCAGAAGGATGTGCCTGGCCTTACTCACTGTACTGCAACACTCAGGGCATTAGAGCATATTTTCAGGTTTTCCATTGTGAAGTAGTTACAATACTGGGTTTTACTGTATAAAGTCTGAATTCATCTGCATTCTCCACAGTGGGGACCGCAGGGGGAAGGCAGCTGACAGAGCAGGAAAGTAGAAGGGCAAAATGGGAAGTTTTTTAACCAAACCAAACCACCTCCAAAATGATTCAGCAGCAACACAAACCTGGTCTTTAAAAGGCAACTTTTACATTTGCTTGCCACTGAAATCTTGATTCTGCAGGTGGGCATGCCACACTGCAAGTACAGACACAACCCCCATGGCACTGTTACCCAGGTTTGGCAGAGAAAAATGCCAGAAGTAAAGACAAATCACTATTTTGCAAGCAAAGTTTTAAGGAATGCTAGAAAATTAGCAACTATTTTTCATTTTCATAAGCAAACGTTTATGTTTAGATGAGAACAGGATTTAAAAGTGACAGAAGGAAAAGATTACGGTGTATATTATTTTAATAACATGTATTGAAATAAAAAGATAGAAATCTGCTTATACATGGCACTGGTGTAACTGAACTGGAGATAAACCCCAGTGTGCCCAGTTCCTCCTAAACAACACAAAGAGAATTTAAAAGACTGTAGCAAAACTTTATATTAGAATTTGTCATGAAAAGAAACTTTGCCTTAGAAACATCTCATATGAAATACCTGACCATGGAAATATCTAAAGTATATTCACCAGCTGAATAGAAACACCAGTTGAACAATAAGTTACACCTCAGTATAGCAGCATCAAGTAAATCCTGAAGTGCAAAAAGTTAAGAGAATTATCTAATGCAGTTGTGTTAGCTGTAAATCAGTTCTTAGATGTAACCCAGCTCTGCCATCTACTGACATGGTTTCTGGCCTGACACACTGCAATACTTTGTATGTGCAAGCTTTCAGAAGTTCATTTTTTGGCCTTAAAGCAGTTGTAAATATGCTCTAGAAACCAAAACCAGAAGCCTCTCAAAAAGAGCCTTAAAGTACATAATACATGTTTTCACACAATGGCAGTGAAAGAGCATTAAAATAATCGGGGACTTGGTACAGAGAATCAGGGACATGGAACAGAAACTTAGGAATGTGCACTTCAAATGAACTCGCTGCTTCCTGTTTTCCTGCTATTTCCTGGGTAACAACAAGCAATAAATAAAGGCGTAAAGTAGCCTCATAGTAGTGTTGCTACTGTATGGAGCTTATAAATGTCAGTACAAAGTGCTGGCTCACAAGGAACACTGGCTGCAATAACAGCACTTTTAGTAAGGTTTGCAAAGTCACTTAGTACTCAACAGAGTCCAATCTCACGCCCCAGAATAAATCTGAAACATTCCACTTGGACAGCAACCCTTTTGTGGCATCTTGCCTCATTCCCTCAGCATGGTGACAGTGAAGGGCTCAGAATTCCCTTGTTACTACATTTTACATTCCCAAAAAATCAGGTATAAATAAGTGAATAAATAAATTCTTGCACCTTTACTACGAGCTAGGATTTCAAATGTCAAACTCACTCCATTTCAGATATCTGACAGATTTTTGACACCTTTCTTCATTAGTTTTGAGAAAGGTGAGTGAAGTTGCTCTGGCAATAAAACCTGTCATGCTTTAAAAGCACTTCATGGACAGCACCATCTGGGTGCTAAGTACAATGAATGCCTTGTTGTAATTAGGAGTGAGAAAACAAAAAAAGGCTCAAAGATGCCATCTTCTCACCATGTACTGTGCTTTTAAAAACAAACCATGTTTTGCAGGATAAATTCCTGCTTGTTTCCTAACCCCACTCTTGGTACAAATCTTGTTTTCTGTTCCACCTCTCTTGCCTCTTCCAAAACTTTTGCCTTCATTTAAGAGATCACAACTTCATTTATTTCTGCACGCAAAGCAGCATCCCCCTTTCAGTCTGAGTTAAAGCAGGTGCTTTGGTCAGGAACCCCTGGAAGTCTGTGTCAGAAAATGGTGCTGACACGGAACACCACCACTGGGGCTTGTGAACAGGCTGGAATCGCCCTGTAACCATGGAGGGTTCTGCACACAACTGCAGGGACCCTCAGCGGACTACTGTGCACCTGCTGCACCCCACAGATGTGTTTGTGTTGAGCCTCACGTCACAGGAAGAATTCCATTTGGAAACATGCTCTGGTGCAGCATGTCCTTTTCTTCTGATAAGAAGTAAACCAGACATTACCTCCTGTGAGCCATGGTGTGGAAGGCCAAGAACCATCTTGTTTCAGTGACTTTTACAGCCCTTCCACCTCCTGCTTTGGGTCATCTTGGTGCTGCTGCTTCTGCTCCCGCTTTTTATTATCACCCAGTGCTTTTGCCTTGGTGGCTCTCAACCTGTGTCTAACATCAGGCCTCTCCTCATCCTGCTAGTGCTTTTTACAGTGTTTTTCAAAGGTCGAAATCCTGGCATACGCCTAGTCGCAAAGCAAACAGTGGTAGGGCCGCTCCCCGCTGTGTGTCCTCACATGGAGCTGGAGGTGCGAGGACCTGGAGAAGGCTCTGCCGCAGATCGAGCAGCGGCGAGGCTCACGTGCCTCGTGTGTCTTCAGGTGCTGCTTGAGGGACGCCGCCTGCTTGAAACCCTTCCGGAAGGAGGAGCCCCCGCAGCTCCTCTCGCCAGGCTCCAGGAGCCGGTGCGACACGAGGTGCGCAGAGGAGCTGAAGTTCTTCCCGCACTTGTCACACTGGAAGGGCTGCTCGCCCGTGTGCACGCGGCAGTGCGTGGCAAGGCGCGAGGCGCGCCCAAGAGCTTGCCACAGTCCTGGCACTTGAAGGGCCTCTCCCCGGTGTGGATGGCTTTGTGGTGCACCAAGTGGGACGACTGCGGGACCAGCTTCCCGCAGGAGGAACACCCGTACTTGCGCTCGCCCGTGTGGGAGCGGAGGTGCAGGGCGAGGTGCGACGAGGAGATGACCGCCTTGCCGCAGAGCGCGCAGCCGTGCGGCCGCT